CAGCCCAGCTCCAGGTTGAGCCGTTGTTCAGCATCTTAGCTGTAGAGGGTAGTGTCACTGGCCCTCACATGTGGGATCCGAACCGGGGCCTCTGGCGTCCCAAGCGAGTTCTTAACCATCGCGCCATTCGGCCGGCCCTATGTGAAAATTTTAAGATAAGATACATATCATTGACAGATGATCCAGTAGACCAGGGGTCTGTTAAGACCTCAGCCATGCCCATTTATTTACGTATTACTTTTTTCCTCCAGTTTTATTGATATAATTGTCATATAACATTGTATAAGTTTAAGCTGTACAACATAATGATTTGATATATGTATATGTTATAAAATGATTACCATGATTAGTTAACACCTATACCTTCGTGTAGTTACAAATCTTTTTTTCTTGTAATGAGAACTTTTAAAATCTCTATTAGGAACTTTAAATTATACAATACAGTATTGGTAACTATAGTCATTGTGCTGTCCATTATATCTCCAGGACTTATGTATTACTGGAAGTTTGTCCCTTTTAGCCAGCTTCACCCAATTCTTTCACTCCCACCCCTAGCCTGTGGCAACCACAAATTTGATATGTTTCTATGAGTTTGGCTTTCTTTGATTCCATATATAAGTGAGACCATAAAGTATTCATCTTTCTCTGACTTATTTCAGTTAGTATAGTGCCCTCAGGGTTGTCACAAATGGCAGAATCCCTTCCTTCCTTCCCTCCTTCCTTCCTTGCTTCCTTCCTTTTTCTTTTTTCCTTCCTTCCTTCCTTCCTTATTTTATTGGGGAAGGGGAACATTGTGTTTTTCCAGGACCCATCAGCTCCAAGTCAAGTTGCTGCAATGAACATGGGTTACAGATACCTCTTTGGGATAATGATTTCATTTCCTTAAGTTACATGCCCAGAAATGGGATTGTTGGGTCATATGGTAGTTCTGTTTTTAATTTTTTGAGGAACTTCTGTACTGTTTTCCATAGTGGCTGTACCAATTTACATTTCCACCAACAGAGCTGCACAAGGGTTCCCTTTTCTCCACATTCTCGCCAGCATTTGTTATCTCTTGTCTATTTAATGATAGCCATTCTAACAGGTGTGAGGTGATGTATCATTGTGGTTTTGATTTGTATTTCCCTAGTGATTAGTGATGTTGAGCACCTTTTCACGTACCTGTTGGCCGTTTGAATATCTTTGGGAAAATGTCTATTTAGAGTCTTTGCCGATTTTTAAATTGGATTATTTGGGGGGTTTTTTTGCTATTGAGTTGAATATGTTCCTTATATATTTTGGATATTAAGCCCTTATTTGATACATGTTCTGTCAACATTTTCTTTCATTCTGTAGGTTGCCTTTTCATTTTGTTGATTCTTTTGCTGTGCACTCTTCCATTCTTAAAGCTTGTCAGGTTTTTGCTTCAGACTTAGCTACCAGGAAGCCGCAGGATCAGTGCTCTAAGATACTTGCATTGATGCTCTGGAGTTTTGTCTTTGGTTCTGTTTCTTACTGTGTGATCTAGGCAAGCTCTGTGCCTGTTTTTCTACTGAAAAGTTGGAGGTAAGACTGTAGGTACCACATGAGGTTAATAACATTATTTATTGAATGCTTACTATGTGACAAATCCTATATTAAAAGCTTTACGTGCTCTTAGTCATAAAACTGTAGCGGCCCTGTTGTTGTAGATACTCTCATTTTTCTAATTTGATAGATGAGGAAACTGAAGCACAGAGAGGTTAAGTGACTTGCTGAAGGTCACCCACCTAGAATTGGCAGTGCTGGGATTCAAACCCAGGCAGTTTAGATCCAGAATCTGTTCTCAACCACTGATATACCCTGGAACCCTTTGCCAGTAGTTCAGTAGGAATCTTTTTTTTTTTTAATGGATCATTAATAGTTTTTATACTAACCATCCATTTTCTGTGGAGGAGATATAGAGTGACATTCTCTAAGAGAGATATACATCTGTGTGTGAATATGTAATACGTGATGTTTATTGTACAGATGTGTGGGGTTTCTTTGTTTACTGAGTTGATGGTGGTATCAGTATTTATGGAGCCTGGTAGTGTGTTCGATATAGAAATGTTGACTTTTCATAGATATGCTTTGGAGGTTTGTAACTTTGCAACTATAGGTGAAGAAAGGGAGCATTTTCATGTCTTCTCTACCTTTGGTAAAGCTACCACTCCCTAGGTCAGTACTTAATCCAATAGAAATATCAATGGAGGCACATATGTCATTTTAAAATTTCTATTAGCCACATCAAAATAAGTAAAAAGAAAGAGGGGAAATTAATTTTAATAATTTTATGTAACTAATATCCAGAACATTATTTAACATGTAGTTAAAAATATATTACCCACTTTGTTTTGTTTTTGGACTAAGTCTTAGAAAACCAGTGTGTATTTTATACTTATAGCACATCTTAATTTCGACTAGCCACATTTCAAACGTCAGTAGCTACATGTGGCTAGTAGCAACTGTATCTGTAGGCTCATACCTGGGACTAATTTCAGTTGTGACTTAAGTCTGGACCAGTAGCATAGGATTTCAGGAGTCTAATCTATAGGAAAAGTTGTATATTTTTAGGAAAAAAGTTTTGCCTACACATTGTCTTTCCTATTTTTATAAATTAGAGTTAAATATTTTGGGAATTTCCTTAGAAATAGTGACCTTTCATTAGGTGAGTTAGCTCCAGCAACATTGATGATGCAGCAGTTCTTTCATTTTCTTTTTTTTCTCTAGACATCAACAAGTTTCTGTGGATGGTCCGGATTGGAGGGAGCACAGACACAGGCCGACATATCAAGGAGCATGATTATTATACTCCAACTGGGGAATTCCGTGTGGATCGTGAGGGTTCTCCAGTGTTGCTCAACTGCCTTATGTACAAGATGTGTTACTACCGCTTTGGACAGGTCTACACTGAAGCCAGTGAGTGATTCATAACATTAGTAACAATAGTAAGAACAGTGATTGGCTAACACAGTGTTTTTCATATGTCAGGCACTGTTCTGTTTTACATCTATTAACTCATTTAATCCTCACAGCAACCCAAAAGATAGATAATATTATTGCGATTTTATATATAAAGAAATTGAGATACAGCTAGGATACTTAACTGCTGCAAATCACATGACTAGTGGCAGAGTCAGGTTAAATTCTGGCAATCTGGCTCTACAGTCTGTGCTTCGACCGATTAATTTTTACTGTCTGTCAGTAAAAGTTATTGTAATGGAGAAAGGAATGAAGGGGGATAGAGTCGATAAAGGACTTTTCATTTCTTCAGATAAATATATCAAGAATAATTTGATTAGGTTACGTCTTTCCTTCTGCCTTCAATTTCTTGGTTCAGCACTAGGGACAATTTCTGAACTGAATGCAGGCCTTTGATTTCTGATAGGTTCTTCTCTGACCCTTGGAAGGGTTACTGGTGTATCACAGAGGCCTCTGGGTGGCAGTCCTCAGGAACAAAGGGGCTTGGAAGTTGGCCCTCCACCTCTTAGAAGATGTAACAAGAAGCATCATCTTGGATTTAGGGGAACATTTGATTTGCCCTTACTACCTGATGTCCTTTTCCTCAGGCCCTGCTCTCTAAACAAACTGCAGGCTAAGGAATAACATTCAAATTAGTAGATGATTTACCAAATGGATTGACTTTTTCCTTAGGAAATCAGCACTGTAAAAATAAATGTGTCTTTCTTTGTCCCTTTCTAGAGCGTCCCCCAGGCTTTGACCGTGTGCGGAATGCTGAGATTGGGAATAAAGACTTTGAGCTTGATGTCCTGGAGGAAGCATATACCACAGAACATTGGCTAGTCAGGATATACAAGGTAAGCAGATGTTACACTAAGAAAGCTGCTGTCATGTTTGCCAGTTGGTTCTAGTGCTTAAAAAGTGGGCCACGTATTGCTAAAATAGGGACACTTCTAATGTCTAGAAAGTAGCTGCAATTCAGAATTTTACTGTTTTTATTTTAGGTTATTCATAGGGAGTAGACACCCCAGTCTGCTGTCATTTTGGCAGTGGTTCCAGTGATAGTTTTCCAGTTGGGGCTGAACTTGATCTGTTTTAGTGATTATCAGGCTTGGAGAGGGGGGAAATGAGAAAGAGAGTATTTTTGAACTATTCATTTTCTTTCCCACCGAAGAAATTATGGCATAGTCACATAGAAGTGTGTTGTGTCTCTTACATAAGAAAATGTTGAGTACCCTTGATATATTTGGAGGATAGATCATTAATATTGCTTCTTACAGAGGTACTCCAAAAGGCTAAGCAGAGGCTAAGCTAGTCTCACACCAGTGCTCGTTACTCACAAAACCAAACCAGGCAGCAGAATCCATTGTAAACCCTCCCTGTCTGGGTGAATCCAACTCAGCAGAGCAGCTCTCCAAAGTTGACCTGATTGTAAATATTAAACTGATATATTTATGTTGCAGGTAAAGGACCTGGATAATCGAGGCTTGTCAAGGACATAAACGACACGTCCAGCTCTAATATGCTTCGCACTGAACGCGTCACATTTAGGACACTGAAGACGTTTTTTAAATATGCAGTTTCTAAGAACAGACCACGATGGAATTAGAATTGTCTGGAAGTTTTGCCCTGGGCAATATGGGCTGAGCCAAATGGAATGATTTTTATAATTCTGAGATTACCAAATGAAATGTCATGGCTTTACTTTGGTCAATTAAAGGGGGGCAATTTTTTTTTTAACGTGCCTTATTTGTTTTGACTTATGACTGATTTGAGGAAGGCAAAAGTTTATGCTGGGCTGATAGAACGACAGAAAGCAGACCTCATCCATGCTTTCAGCTCACTAAATGAGCTGTGTAGGGCCATTCTGTCTTTCTCAAATCAGAAAAACTAACAAGGACTAGCTCAGATCCTACATATACAAACAATTTTGTCATTTCAAAAATTACAGCACCTAGCACAATGCCTTGCACATGGTGGGTGCTCAATAAACTTTAACTGAATGAATAAATGTTTGTGGGACCAGAGGAGTGCCATTTATGGGCAGGTAAGGCAGCTGTGTTGCCATCATGTCTCTGTTCCGAACACCTCTTGTCTGTACTTTATGAGGGAGAAAAGGTGGCTAGCCAGACCTGATTTCAGTATTCTTGGGGACTAGCGAGGTGGGTTTTTTTTGTTTTGTTTGTTTATTTTTTGAGCAGGAATAAATCAAGTGAGACTAAATCAGCAGTTTTAAAGACTCAAGGCAAACAGTGAAATTATTCTCATTCTCAGTGGAGGAAGAAACCCCTCCAACATTATGTTTAGAACTTGATAGTCCGTAGGTTTTTGATTCAGCTGAAATACAATCATGCATATCTATTTGAAAGCAAGCTTTTCAGTACTCTCACTTACCATCATACAGCACGTTTCTTTGCTCATTTCCTTTCGCTTGTGCACTAAAACTCTTGCAGTTAAAGGTAGCTTCTTTATCCCTTAGTCTGAGCCTATTTGTTATTATATACCACTAACAATCTTGATGATGTGGTTTTGAAGTTGTTGCCAAATAAGCTACAAATTACAAGGAAGAATTGCTATTAGCAGGTACCTACAGAGCAGTGCTAGCCTGTCTGCAGGAAAGGGGACGAGTAACTTAAAAAAATTTTTTAACTCAAAGCACAGTAGTCTCATGGTTATTTAATATTAAGATAAACAATCTTATGTTCAGTATGTAGGACATTGTATGTATTTTACAACATAAGACATATATCAGTGATGTATATAAACCCTAAGTCATTAAAAAAATATAAGGTAACTGTTTAGTGTTACCTGTTTAAGAAACGGGAGCAATTATATGGCTTTTATATAAGTCAAAATGGTGCTCCTAGAGGGTATGTTCAGGTGTAGTTGTATACCCAGGAAACTTAACGTTCTAAACCAATTTGTATACCAAGTGCTTCAGCTGTGGGTGAGATTTAGATTTGGTATAAGATTTGACTTACTATATGTAAATACATGATTTATATACAGAATTCCTCCCTAGTGGAAGGGGTTATTCTGAGGTTTTATTTAAAAAATTGTTTTTACCAATATGAATAACAGAGATCATTAGTGGTCTTCCTCTGTAGTATACATGGGTATATATGGGATAACCCTTTAACTTATCACTATAAGTGTTGCTCTGATGACGTTAATTTTGTTACTTTCTAGGCTACATGAAGGCAACTTTTAAAAAATTTTTCATTTTCACTGTTACAGTACACTTAGTGTAAAAAAAATAATCAAATAATCCTAAAAAGCAACAGCTGTTATCCACTCCTCAGAGGTAACCACTTTCAACTCTGCTGATTCTCACATTACTTACCTCCATCTCATTAAATGACTTGCTTTATTTTGCTGTGTTGGTTTTTCAATTTTAGGTTATCTGTTGACTTTCTGGTATGGAAATTGAGGATTTAGCTCTTTTTCACCATCCTTGTATTCTCGTGGACTACACATATTCTTACCATCTTAAGGTTCTATTGTTATGATTTAGGTTAGCTCAGTAGTTTTTACCTTATGGCTTTTCACAACTAGGCCATGTGATAGACTGTTGCTACTTTTTTTTTTTTTTTTGGAGGGCAGTGTCACTGGCCCTCATATGTGGGATCCGAACCGGGGCCCTTTGGCATCCCACGCCAGTTCTTAACCATCGCACCACTCGGCTGGCCCAGACTGTTGCTACTTTTTATTCCCCCTGCATAACTTGGAGGTTTTTTTTATTTGTACTTGTCACTAATTTCTCCCCAAACTCTTTATATTTGTGCCAACTTCCTTTTAATATGTTCAGACTCTTTAGATAGTCAAACTCCAGTTTGGTTTTACTCTCCAGGTTTGCTACACATCTCTTTGGTGGGCTGTCTTCTCACTTTAATATTATGTATGTTAATCCCACCTTCTTTCTTGATTTGTCACCTCTTAACTACCTTCCTGAATAAGTGTGGGAGATAAATTTCTTGAGATCTTGTATGTCTCATGTCACACTTGATTAGTAGGTTGGTTGGGTATAGAGTTCCAGGTTGTGAATAACTTTTCCTTAGAATTATATTGAAGGCATTGGCCCATTGTTTCGCTCTTCTAAATGCTGAGAAATGTAATGCTATTCTGATTCTTAATATTTTGCATGTGTCCATTCCCTCACTCCCACCCCAGACCTCTTAGGATCTTCCTTTCTTAATACTTTTTGTAACACACAGTGCGTAAAGTTAAATGACCTGAAAACTTGATTAGGTGAAGCCTAAATTGTGATATGGTTAAAAATTCTCATAAGCATTTTAAAGTGCTCTGGTTTTGTTTTAAAATGTGTGCATTTTTGTGTAACATTCTACACTTATTTTACTCGTTTATCAGTAACACAATCAAGAGCTAGGTATGCTCAGTGGATGTGGCCCAGTTTTAAGAAATGGAGAACTTAATGGAGATGATCTTACCTGCGCCTTGACTTCCTGGTCTAGTTTACTGTCGATGGAGAATACGTATTTAAGTTTTCTCCATTATTTTGTTCTCAAGCAGGACCCTTTTCCCCAGAATTTACTTTCTCACTTAAACTGGTTACTCTCCTTTTAAAATTTGCATTGTAAAATGATGCGAAACAGCCTTTTTGTTCTACCTGCTTCTTGCACATTGAGAATGAGAAGACAGGTAGGACTACCTTACACAGATGCTCTTCCTTCAAAACGGTGGGGCTAGGGTACTGTTTTGGAGCTAGTTCAGACAAGACGGGACAAAATTACACTACCTCAAACTAACAAGAGCTTTCACCTGGATGCCTCCCCAACTTGTTACCAAGGGGCCAGGCTTTGAGGCTGCCTGCTCCCCGCAGAGTTCCCTTCGTCGTTCCCAGGACCGGTTCTCAGCAGCCCTTCCCAGCTCCTTGGCTGGAGCGCGGCCTGTGCGGCACTTTAAAGTGATAGACTGGGGCCGGCAGAGTGGC